TTACACAGATTAGTCAACAATTGAGAGAGATTTGAACTTATATCCTTTGCTTACTGAAAAGATAAGTCGTCTCCTATGGTGTTTTAGCTGTTAACCTTTCATCTTGGAGGCTCTTGTAGTTAATTAAGGTGAGCATGCATACTATATTTTCTATATGTAGTGTATTTATTTGATATTAACAAAGAAAAAGATTCAGCATTACTTTAACAATGTATCGTGCACATTATTTACTTAATACTTAATTAATTATATCTGAACACTTTTTCATAAGATTTCATTTTACAGGAACATTAGAAGAACTCCGGATACCATTAAATTATGAAATTATGGAGCATTGGTTGTATTAGTCCTCATTTGCCCTGTAAAGTAGCTGTGCCCATGGTTCTAAAGAAAGCATGAAAGTGCCTTTTATTCATTGGGAGCGAAAACAGTGTGCTGAAAAAAGGATTTATGATGATGAACTGGTATGTAATAGTATCAGTTAAAAATAGTAAAAAACTATATAATAAAATATCTTTAGATAACTTCAGTTTCTTAGACATTTGTAACTTGCTTCAATAGACAACTTTTAAACGTTTCAGAAATGGAAGAAGCAGAATTAACGTGGAACAGATCTTTCCATTAGTGTGCATGTTACTGATTTATACTGATTTATTCGATTTAAAAATGGTAATTAATTTTTCTTGCCTGATTCCATATAGATTGTCCCACAAATGAGAAGGAATCGCGGTTAATTTTGGTACTACTGAAACAACCGATGCTTTTGACGTCTTCACCTTGCAACTTTATGCAGTTAATTTTTGCCGTAACAATGGGAGGCAATTGGAAATTAATTAATTTGGATGCAACCAGAACAACAAATTATCTGCAGTGGTATCCCTCCTAGATTTGGTTGGTTTGCTCATCACACTGGTAGACTTTAGAACGCCACTTTCTACAATTAATTGAGGTGAGAATACATGACTTGATCAATATTTCTGTTGAATTTCTGTTAGCTATTGTCAACAGTATAAATTGAGGTTATTGTGCATCTATATCACTTGACAGTTTTTATTTTCCACAGAATAAATTGATATTTATCGTTGATGTTTCCATAGACATATATTATGGATGTATCTATGGAGTTTATCTATCTATGGATTTTCTTTTTAACCTTTATCTGTTGTCTATGTCGTAAATTGACGTCGCGTAATTTGACACTACTCTATGTCGTGATCTATGGTTATGATGTAAAATGGCGTAAAATTTTTGTTTGTTTATTTTATAATTCAGCTATTTTACTTGCTTTCTGGTGCGTTTTTATTTGTGTTTCTTAATTATAAGTGTAATTAATATGTTTTTTGTCCATTTCTGCAGGTTATACAATAAATGAGAGAGAATTATTGTTCAGTTTGGTTATACTGAAACAGTCCGTGTCTACATGGGTGTGGTCATGCATGGATTATATTCTTCATTTGCTGTTTCGTCTTCGCCTTGTAACATCATGCAGTTAATTTTCAACCCAAGATTGAGAGCAACCGGATATTTATTTGAATTCCACTGAAATAAGAAATTCTCTGCTACGGTGTTCTTCCTGGAGTTGGTTTACTTTTCACACCTGTAAACTTTGGAATGTTACGTTCTATAATTAATTAAGGTGAGGATACTTGATATACTTAATTTCAATTGCTCTTTATTAATCTGTTTGCCACCGTATCTGTTTCAGATCGACGTTGGAGAAGACAAAGATGACCCAGTAGTTGAAATAGTTCTTTATCTTGCATGCTCTATCTAGTAGAATTCATTAAGTTCGTTTTATTCAAATTAATTTTTTATTTTGCATGTTTTTTTTGTTTTTGTAGTTGTAGTTTCTTATAGTTTATTTGATTTAGTTTTTATTTTGCATGCTTATTTTTGTTCATTTTGTTTGAAGTAATTGTTGATTGTAGATGTTTTTTTTTTTTTTTGTATGTAGTAGTAGTGTAGTAGTAGAAATAACACGTTTAGTAGTTGTAGTATAGTCTAACCTTGCTTACCTCTTCGCTTAGCTTACTGCATATTCTTCCTAATTTGCTTTGCATTTACCCTACGAGTTCTACATGATTCAACGTTTCGTTATCGTGTGTGTTTCTTCTCACCCTTGTGGAATTAGGGAGGGCCTCCCCGAACGACTTCCCTTGGGCTTAGCTATTTAGTTGATCTTAAAAGTGTCTTATACACTTTTCGCGAGTCTACTCTAGCGTTACTTCCTTTCAGACAGGGTACAGTGGGTTATCTGGAATAGGAGCAATAGGCGACTGCCCAGCTTGCCTTGGCGAAATCTGTCCGATCTTCTCTACCAAACCTATTAGTATTTGCCGTTAGTCCTGTTAATTGCACTTTTGCTTTCAGATAATGAGGTATTCCTTAAGAAGAATGAAGACATCGTATTTTTTGCTTTTTATTGTATTTTCTTTGAATTTTCATATGTTTTCTTGTCTTTCTTTTACAGGTATTTTGTTTATTACTTTATGAACTGTTATATTATGTAATTGTAACTTAGAATGATACTTAAAATGTTTCTAAATTGATCTTTTGGTATAAATGTTAAAATTAAGTTAAATATTTGTAAACACTTTCACAATTAAAATTCATTTGGGCGGATAGGGTGGCTATAAGGGGAGATGTGGAGGCCACAGAGGGTTAGGGGGACTTTTTTCTCCTTAATCTTATGTTTAAATGGTAATATAACAGTTTGTAAGTAATATAAGATTTTTCATTGCATATAAATGTGATTTGTTTTCTTTCTCTTACAGGTATTTTTCATTTTACTCTATAAACTGTTAATTAATTTCTTGATTTTGTAATTATGTTCACTTTTGTAAATCCTTAGAAACTGTTATTTATGAAATACGTTACATATATTATGTATTATACTATTACCTGAAATAAGTATGTTTTAATTAGTGTAATAAATATATGAGTCTAATTAATAAATATATTTTAATTTTATTAGCTTTTTTATTGAACAATCTTTAATATAGAAGTAATTTATTGAAGAATTAAGTATAAAGTTTTCACTAAAAGTTGAATTTTAAAAAAACGCAATTCGAGCAATAAATTTCTATTTTATAATACAAGTGTAAACAAACGTTTCGAAGTTAATCAAGATCGAATTCTGTAGAATAACAGAAAACAAAACTACCAAATGTAGTTGATGCCGCGCTAAAAATTGTGACTCTTAAAAAGACCTTTCGCGACTTATGCTCTCCTAATACAAATTTTCAAATTTAACAAAATTTTCAGTTTTGCGTCCTATACGAGGGCCGGTCGAAAAGTTATGGAACAAAAAAAATTCAAAAAACAATTTTTGATTTTTCCATTACTTTCTGACCAACCCTCGTATTCGGCGAAAACCCGAAAATTTTCATAAATTCCAACATTTGTATTAGGAGAGCATAAGTTGCATAGGATCTTTTCCATTACTTTCTGACCAACCCTCGTATTTTGGGTCAAATCCTAAGTGATTGCAGCGCCATCTAGCGGTGCTCTCTCAAACTCCAATAGTTCGACGGTTTGTCATAAGAGGCGCCACCGTCGCGCCCCCCTGGCGGCAAATCAATAAACTAAGCAGTTCAGTCATTCCCCACTGGAGGGCGCTGCAATCACTTAGGATTTGAGCCGAGATACGAGGGTTGGTCAGAAAGTAATGGAAAAATCAAAAATTGTTTTTTGAAATTTTGTTGTTCCATAACCAATTCGATCATGATTAACATTGAAACGTTTGATTGCACTTGTATTATAAAATAGAAATTTATTGCTCGAATTACGTTTTTTTAAAATTCAACTTTTAGTGAAAACTTTATACTT